TTCATCTGCACAACGACCAAGGTTTCCGATGGCTTTGCCAATTACTGATGCGGACCCAGTTACTCGGAAGAGAACATTTTAGATCGTTTTGCCATCTTGGCTTCATGTCGTGCTTTCTTGGCGTCTGCAAAGAATTTTTTGACTTCGTCGGACATCAGATCCTTCTGCTCATCAGTAATGGATGCGTCAGAGCAACTGCTGCAACTGAACTCATCATCTTGCTTCATTTCACTTCGTGGAATGACGCGAGAGATGGATACCGTAGGTTCTCCAATGCCGTCTTCGGGATACCAGACCGTGAGTTTGGATTCGATCTTTTTACCTGGAAGTTCGTATTCCTCGGGTGTTGATTGAGGTTCCGGGTTGGTGGACGATGATGGTTGTTCCGGTTGTTCAGGATGCTTGTCATTGAACCGACTGGATTTCCGGGAATCACGATCCGCAACAGAATCAGCCTCCGATTCAGACGATCTGGAAGTGGTAGAGGTGGCTATTTTTATCGCTAATTCTCTATCAACATCCGATGGGATAATAGGGATGGTAACTCCAACAGCGTCCGGTCGCTCCCGTTCCTCGTTGACGCGTTTTCGAAGAGCCTTGACCATGTTTACAGCTCCCATACCCATCAGTACGGGTAATCGCTGAGACTGCTTCGTGAATTGTTGATGGTTCCGGAATATATCTTCCGTGGCCATCAGATCCGCTGAAGACAGGTGGCTTACGTTGTCAAAGTAGGCATGCTTCAATACGATCTCTTCAACCATAGCCATATAACGAAGCGCGCGAGAATAAGGTTACGGAATTCACATCTTTCATCGGTATTCATTTTTTACGAACTCTTAGATATTCTTAAATACACGAAAAACTACGATACCGATATCTGGAGAAAAGTACCAAATTTATGATGCCGAGCAATCAAAGCATCCACCTTCGTACGTGGTTAATAACCAGAATCAAAAAGGTTGACACAGATATTTCGTCAAAGTACCGAGATTGTTTACGAGTTTATAGAAAAGGCGCACAACAGGTATTTCAAAGATACTTAATTAACAACTACGTACACGAAATACAGAAAAAAAGTCGGATAATTGCATAAAAAGCACATGGAGAACATACGACGTAAAATTAGACGTTGCTCATTCAACAAACATTCGAGAACTGACACCGAACCCGGTTTCGTATTCGACTCGACGACGAAAACGAGAGAAGTTCTTTCAAAAATGGCGGATGGATACATATCGTATCCGAGTGGGAGAAACAAAGAAAAGAATAGTGAAGTTCTATACGAACTCAACCGTCCTTTTTTATCTCGTACGAGAACGTATTCGTTCTTATCGAGTTTTTTTCCCTGCTTGGTTCCGATTTTGCTTCGTTTCTACGAAGTCGAATAGAAAGAATTGCGCTATCGCCTGTTTCTTTTGTGTTCGAATCGTACGTTTGCAGGTTTCGACAAGCATCGGTTTGCTGTCCATCCAGCATTTCGTTACCATTCTTTTGTCTAGTCCTAAATTTTACGACGTAGTTACCATTTTTTGTCTGTTGACTATTTTTAAGTGATTTTTTTTTTTTTTTTTTTTTTTTTAAGAATTCCTTTGAATTCATATGTTATCTATTCTTCTAACAATCGACTGGGATTTTCGAGTTTCTGTTCTCTCATCGAATTTTCGAGAACTTACAAAGAATTCTGTAGGTTCTTTTATTTTTTAGAGAACTACGTTTTTCGAAAAATGATGTGGTTTTTTTGTAATATTAAGAAGGCGATAAGGCTTCGGCAACCAAATTTACTTTGTTAACCAAATTCTTGGTTTTTACTGAAGACTTAGCGATCTTTCTTAACCTAGGAAAATATACGAATGCGAATTCGTATTGTGACTCTATTCAATTTTCATGAAGATTTGAATGTTATGGGTGTTTTTCAGACTTAACCACTTGAAAGGATTAATTTGACATAGACGTAGACTTTTTGGACGCGTGAGAGAAGATGAAGAATATCAGAACTTAATATTTTCTATATGCTGAGAGATTAATTCTCCTGTCTTCATATCTTCGAGAAGATATGAATTTGCACCTAGACCATTTTCTCGAATCACTACATAGGGACCCTTCCATTTTTTCTCTAGCTTCTGAGAATAATTTCTCTCTTTAGACGATAATGGATGTGTTTTTACATACACTATATCACCCGTCATGAGAGTGGATGGTTTCTGGTGTGTATCAGAATAGTATCTATTCCTGGCTTCTAGTCTCTTTTTGACTCGAAGTCGTACTTTCTCTACTATTAACTGATATTCGTCCTCTGAGATTTTCTCAGATTGACTTTTTCCCTTCATGCCTGGCTTGTTTTTTAAGCTGTAAAGTGCATGGAGGTACACCTGTAGTGATGTGTTCCGTGGTGTTAATCGCTGTTTGGATGTCATGGAGTAGCATAGGCCATGCTCCATGATTTTTGGGATTCACCTGAAGTCTAATTGATGTAGCTAAAACTTTCATCACTCGTTCTGCTGGATTGGCTGCAGGATGGTAAACAGAAGTGTGTCGAACTTCAACATCTCTGTTTTCCCAATGTTTCATCCAGGCATCACTTGTGAAATTAGTGGCATTGTCAGATAAAATCGTTTTTTATGGGTCCATACATGGAAATGTATTTTTCCATACAACGAATACTAGTTTTCGTGTCACTACGTTTCGTGGGGAATAAGTGCACAAATTTAGTGAAGATATCTATTGCAACCAGGATTTTTTCCAAGCCTGCTCTACCCGTGGGTAATGGACCGAAAAAATCTATGGCCACAAGGTCACCTTTGTTTTCAGCCTTTATGTTTTGGATTCTACCATAACGCATGGGTGCGTCCTTGCTGGTCTGACAATCATGACATAATTTGACAAAATTTTCTACATCTGATTTACAGCCAGGCCAATCAAAAAAGCGTCTAACAATGGTGAGAGTTTTATTCATACCGGGGTGTAGTGCATCCTCATGGTAGAATTTTATGAGGGCTAGACGATGGCTTTTTGGGACATAAATCCTATAGCGACCGTCACGATTCCTGATTTTAAACATTTCATCCTCGATTATGACATAATCATATTTTTGATTTTCCAGAATGATCTTCAAATCAGGATCCATGGCTTGAAGTTTGGGTATATTTCGTATCCATTTACCAAAATCAGTGCCAATATTTCTGGTCATGATTTTTGAATTTGGTCGAATATTACCTACTGTTTGCATAACTGCAGAACAGTGGATTTCAGGTGCCATGATGAGACTTAATGGAACTTGATAACTTGACTCGGGACAGACTACATCTTTGAAGTATCGAGATAGAGTGTCAGCTAGTTGATTTTGCTTGCCATCTATATAATTAATAGCCTTGAGATTAAATTCCTCAAAAATAGTAATTGTCTAACTATTTTTGGGCTACAATTAATTTTGTCTTGTCTAACTATAGTTAGAGACTGATGGTCAGTATAAGCTATCACTTCTTGGACTATCTAAATAATATCGACACTTTTTCAACACATATACGAGTCCTAAAAGTTCTCTTTCGTATGTTGAATAATTTAATTCTGCTGGAGTCAGTAACCTTGAAACCATTGATACTATGTGGGGTTGATTATTGTCATCAATCTGATACACGAAACCTCCAATTCCATATCCACTAGCATCAGACATGATGTAAAAAGGTCGATTAGGTAGAGGATGAGAATTTAATAAAACTCTTGAAATTTCCTCTTTACCTTTTCGAAGGCTTTTTGCTCCTCTTCTCCCCATTTAAATGGCTGATTACCAGTTAGGAGATATAGAGGATGTGCTATGTCGCTGCAGCATGGAATATGGGATCTGTAATAATTTACTACTCCCATAAATGATTGGATGTCTCGAGTACAGGTTGGAGTAGGGAAGTTTTCGATGCATTTTACCTTATCTGGAGTGGGTTTCATACCCTGACTGTCTACTATGAAACCGAGAAATTTAGCTTCTTTTTTAAAGAAACTACATTTTTTCAGTCTCAAGGTCATACCAGCTTTGGCAAGTTTATCAAAGACAATTTCCAAATGTGTTAAGTGTTCTCTCTCAGTAGATGAATATACAAGAATGTCGTCTAACATATGCTGCAACAAATGATTCAGTTCCCGTAAGAGCCAGTCTTGTAGCTGCCAAAAAGGCTTGCATTGAATCCTTTGTTCCCTGAGGAAGTCTTAAGAATTCATAAGGTTGACCCTCAAAACAAAATGCAGTGTATTTACAAGATTCTTCATCGAGAGGAATTTGTAAAAAGGAGTCATTAAAATCCAGACTGGAAAATATCCTTGCTCCTGCAAATTTTGTCTTGATGTATTCGATTTTGGGGGAAGATCGCCTCTGCTTATCAAATATTGATTGAGCATACGGTAATCACCACACAGTCGAATGGTGCCATCCTTTTTTCGCACTGCTACTAAAGGATTAAGATAACCTGAGTTGTATGTTGTATAATTTCCTGAGTGAGCCATTTCTGAATAATTACTCGCCCCTCCGTGTGTATTTTTATGGGTAACTCATAATGTTTACACATGGTAGGCTTATAATTAGGGTCTATATTGAATTTGTGTTTATATAAAAGACTCTTTCCATGTTTTCCAGAAAATAGATGTGAAGCATGTTTTCTGTACTAAACTTTCCATTATAGGTGGATAAGAGGCATCTTCTATTCTGTTTTCATATCTCAGCCTGATTTCATTTTCCTCCTTTCTAGAGGAAAGTCATCTTTAGCCGTGATAACAGAATTAGTGGTATATTCCAGTCCTCGGGAAAATGTAGGTCGCCAATTATACTCCTCATCGTCTGATGAATCAGTGTCAAGGTCATTGGGTTCAGTAATTATTATATTCACTTGCGAGTGAACTGATGATGGTGATTTTTTATGATCTTTTTCATCATGAATTACTGTGGCTATTCGAGTATTTATCAGGATGTTATGTGGGTCTTGAATGACTCCACTCTTGACTAAAGCTCGTATTTCTTTATAGAAATATACATTGAGTTTGACCTTCTCATCGGTTGGAGGACGTAAGAATGAACATCCTAGTCTTTTCCCTAGACCTATTTTTGCCGAGTAAATTGTTAAAAATTCTCTTCCTATGATAATAGGAGTATTAAATCCT